CAAAAAAGTGTGTTAAAACACCAGACGATCTAGTGCTTTGGCAAAGATCAGAAGCTTACTATGTAAGAATTTTTACAATTTATTTTTCATTGGAACTTTATTTTAATTAGTATATAATTACATGAAAATATATTCCATATGTGTCACACTAAAAACATAAAATTATTGTATATTTACTAATCAATGTATAAATTTTTATAAAATTTTAACAAAAGCATCAATTAAATATATAAATATCTAATATTTCTAGTAAATTATTAATTCACTAAATAATGCATACATTTGCTACAACACAATCATAATATATTATAAATTATTTGTTACAACAAAAATATATATTTTAGTAAATGTACTTACATATTAACTATTATACTATTATACTATTAACTTATATATTAAATTTTATGCTTTTGTGACATATGTTTAGTATGTATATATTTGTATAAATAAAAGATAATATTATTTAAATGTATTTTTATAAAATATACTTGTAGGAATACCTAGGATTTATTTTGACATTAAACAGTGCTGTTCAAGGGATTGCTTTGGATGCACAATGTCCACAGTCACCTGTAATAAACAATGTTGTACAGATGTTGAATAAATTTGATGAATGGATAACAGAAATTCCACCTACCGAACAACCTCAGCGATTTGGCAACAAGTCATTTCGTATATGGCATGAGAGACTACAGCACGTATGTTATTAGCGTTATATTTAAGAATGTAAATTATCTTAAGTTATTGAAAAATTGTAAGATATTTAATTTATGATTACTTTTGTTACAGAATGCTGCACAGGAATTGAAGCAAGTATTACCAGAAGATCTACATCGTGCGATCCCAGAGATAGTGCAGTATTTATATGAAAGTTTTGGGAATCCAACTCGCATCGACTATGGAACAGGCCATGAAATGGCTTTCCTTATGTTCCTTTGTTGTATGTTCAAAATAGGTGCATTTGAAGAAAATGATAAGATTGCTGTTGTAGTAAAAGTGTTTAATAGGTAAGGCTTTAATTTGATTTATATTACATGATCTCTTATTATCTTCCCAAATTATTTAGTTATTTAAATCCCATTTTTCTCTGCGTAGGTATCTGGAATTGGTGCGTAGGCTTCAGCTAATATACCGTATGGAGCCAGCGGGTAGTCATGGTGTTTGGAGCTTGGATGATTATCAATTTGTACCCTTTATATGGGGAAGTGCTCAACTCATTGGTATTAATTTTTCTATATATTTTTCATATTTTTGTATATATTTTTTAGTGATAATATAATACAGTGATTTAGAAGCTTCTGCTTCTAAAATTATATAATTTAATATTTTAGGACATCCTCGGATAGAACCACGTCATTTTGTAGATCAAGCTATCGTGGAATCTTACAGTAAAAAATACATGTTTCTTGGCTGCATTGAATTTATCTCAAAAGTACATAAAGATATTCATATAAAGATTTATTAGGTTTTTTAGTGTGATTTAACTTACTTAAGAGTAAGGAACTTACATTTTGATAATTGTGTTTTATTAGGTGAAAATAGGACCTTTTGCCGAGCACTCAAATCAGTTATGGAATGTTAGTGCAGTGTCCTCATGGTCGAAAGTGAACAGTGGTCTTATAAAAATGTATCAGGCTGAGGTAATTATAGGCGATGGAAGTTAGAAAAAAGAATTGTTTACTGTATCGTATCTATTTGCTAGGTATTGGCGAAGTTTCCTGTTATCCAACATGTTTTCTTTGGTTCTCTGCTACCATTGATACCAATGGTCCCAAAATGCTCTAAACCGACCATTACTCCAAATTATAAAAGAACTCCTGTTGATGATAATGAGCCACCGCCACCTGCGGTGCCACAATGAAAATTACATTCGTAATAAATATTGTTACTCTTGAACTACTTATCACACTTCCAAGTATTTATTATAAAATATTTTACCCTTTTCACTCCTTTCATTTTATGATATTTTCATTTTAGATACATTTTTCTAGCTTGTTAGAGATTTATATTATATTTATTACAAAACAGTATTTTTATTGTTGAGAAATGTAAAAAAATAAATAACATAATGCAAATTTGTTTAAATGGCATAACATATGCAAAATTATACATTATTTATGATTCTGTAATTGATTTTCTGAATAAAAATAGATTTACATCTCACAGAAATCCTATGAAAAACGACATATTTTATTATAAATATCGATTTTTATAAAATCGTGCTAATATTCTTAGCTTATGAGATGCTTACTATTTCGATGAAGTACGAAGTACTTCATGCATGCTTCTGACCGATGTTCGTCTCCATGGGAACCAGAAAAATAGTATTGCTATTCATTGTATACTTAACCTTAAACATCTTATACGAAAAGGTTTGTGTACATATTACAAGAACTTAAAGTAGCATCATATAATTTTAAGAAAAGGTTTTTTTAAAAATAAATTTTAAAAAACAAAAAGTTTAAATAATTTTTTAAAAATAAATTTCTGATCCACTAAAGTGGGTCACAGTATCATAAATTGAAAACAAACCAAAAAGTTCAGTTGGTCCTATATCCTGTCTATCCATCTGTCTAAGGAAAGGTTGAACTGGTTGAAAACATAAAATCCTATTAACTAGTGGAAGTAACTTCAAAAATCCGAATTTACAAAGATATTAATGCTATTGTTATAGAGTGACAAATATCGGAGAAATTCGTGAAAGATACACATAATTTGCCATGATTAGGATATCAATTTTTATGTTATTTTTGATAAACTTTTACACCACACTTTGCCAGGATGTTGAGATTGATGCAAATGGCTACATTGTTTACTGTCCCTGCATGGGTAAAATCTTGATTTTTATTATAACTATGATATCATCAAACACATCAATAATAATCTTTATGATCCTCATTCCAGGCCGCTTTGGTAACCAGGCAGATCATTTTCTAGGAGTCCTCGGATTCGCCCAGGCTTTGAATCGTACTCTAGTATTACCGCCATGGGTTGAATATCGCACTGGAGAGACAAGATCTGTAAGCACAAGACTTACCGTGGTGAAAATTTTTCTTATAATTTTACGAATTGGAACATTTTTCAGAAATACTCAGAAATATTCGGAAAGTTTACATCTTCTGTCAGAATTTTTTATACATGTGAATTCTGAAATATTCTGAGATTTTTCTCATTCCATAATTTAAAAAAAATATTTTTTAATTTTTTAGATTTTGTAACATCAGAATTGATCATTCATCAGAAATTATTCTTACAAAAAATCTGAGAAAAGATATAAATTAGAGAGATGTTCCAATTCGTATAAAAAATGTGAGAAAGTATAAAATTATATATAAATTCTGAAAAATTATATATAAAAATTATATATAATGAAAAATTCTGAGAAAAATTTTTACTAAGAAGGAGGGTGTGTGTGTGTGTGTGTGTGTGTGTATGTGTGTGTGTGTGTGTAACATTTGTAAATTTTATAACAATATCTAATATCTAATTTTATTCTAGGTGCAAGTACCATTCAATACTTATTTCAATATTTCTCAAGTACAAAGTTGCCACAAAGCAATATTAATGGAAGATTTTATGAAAGATATTGCGCCGAAGATATGGCCATCTGAAAAAAGAACATGTAAGTTCTAATTCTTTTGAAGAAGCAAGATATTCTAATGGTAATTCTTTTGAAAAAAATATTAATTCTTCATTCTTTCCCAGCTTTTTGTTATGAAGCTCGTGTAGGTAGCAACGGAACATCTTGCAATGCGAAACAAGGGAATCCATTTGGTCCCTTCTGGGACACATATAATATAGATTTCGTTAAATCAGAATTTTACAAACCACTCCATTATCATGACGTATATTATACCCAGACGAAACAACAGTGGAATCAGTATTATCCAGCTGAAACTTGGCCAGTATTGGCATTCACGGGTGCACCCGCCAGTTTCCCAGTCCAACCTGTGAACAAGCCTCTGCAGAAATGTCTCAATTGGAATAACGATATCTTGAATAAAGCGAAGGCGTTTATAAAGAAAACATTGCCGAGGGGCGCGTTTGTTGGCATACATTTGCGAAATGGGATCGATTGGGTATGTGGCATTTGGTATTCATATTTTTATACAGAGAATATAATATCCTATGGAGAATACTGATTTCCTATTTATTACATTCGCTTTTCAGGAACGCGCCTGTGAACATATACCATCTGCGCCGGATCTTTTTGCTGCTCCTCAGTGTCTCGGTTATCAAAACGAACGTGGCAAAGCAACCCTCTCGATGTGCTTACCATCGTTTGATGTAATAATAATTCAGCTGAAGCGTGTTATTCGCAACGGCAAAGATATCAAATCTGTGTTTGTAGCGTCTGACAATGATTACATGTTGGATAGACTTGGAGAAGCTTTGTCGCGAATGGAGGTAAGTTCGTTTATTACTATATCGTGTCATCAATTAATGTTATCATTTCTACATAGATATCTGTGTTCCGACAAAGACCACCAGTATCCTCGCATTTGGATCTGGCCATTCTCGGAAGATCCAATTACTTCATAGGAAATTGCATTTCTTCTTTCACCGCTTTTGTGGCCAGAGAAAGAGAGGTCAGAGGATATCCTACATTTTTCTGGGGTTACCCTCCCAAAACCAGAATAGAACTGTGATATTATATTTTGTAACGTGATATTTGCCAAGTGCGCAATCATCAGTTTTTTGATAATTTTTATATTTATATATTATTGTATTAAGTATTTTCATGATGAGATTAACATTATATGTATGTTTATTATGCTAAAATACAATTGTACAATTGTGGCATCTACAGAGATCAAGTATACTATACATAGATCAAGTATACTATATAAAATGTTTTCGATCTTCAGTATATATTTCGTAATAAAAAAAGTTTATGTCGAAGCAAATTCGTTTGACGCTAGCATTTCTTTTTTTGCTATCGTATATGATATAAAAATATCAAACTTTTTTTTCCGTCGCACAAAAATTGCGAACTTACAATTTTATTCACTTCCTATGTCTCGCATATCACACAATGTCTGCTGTAAAACACAAGCGAAATCTCTCGTATTAGTCTCGTTGCACGATTTAAATGACGAACAGGCAAATAGAATATCCTTCGGTCGCGGATTATAGCAGCAACCATAACCATCGGGTACAACCGGTCCATAGCACATAAAAGACGCTGATTTATATGGCACCTTTAAATTACGAAAGTATATTGATTAGTAGAAATACGCTTATCTTTTGTTAAAATATTGTCACTTTACTGTTTTGCCAAAAAATTTTTTTTAAAGCCAACTTTGTATTACCTGACTTGATGTTAAATTGAAATATGTACTTCTGGTGTACCCAACGTCTTTATACAATTCTGGGAGCTCCGTTCCTTCGCTTTTCGCTATCATTTTTAAGCCAAATAAATGCCGATCGACGCTTTGACCTGTCGCAGCCTACGCAAAAAAAATGTTAATTCGAAAATTTACGTATTGGATTATGATATATATGTATATATATATATCA